AGCAATGGCTGAGAAGAGGCATGAACTCTGCCACTAGGCTGCACTCCAGGGGTTAGCAGGATCCCCTACCCAGCACCGCACAAAGGAGAACAACAGGTCTCCTGACTGCAGGATGGTGCCTATACCTAGCAGCTGTGGGAGCGAGGCGAGCCTCAGGGCCGTCTCATCCACCCAAACATGACTCTCAGGGCCCAGGGAACAGGGAAGCACCCTAACATCCTGCCCACGTATGTCTCTCAAAGGCAGCTCTGTAAGCAGCCCAGCCTTGAACACTGCCACTTAAATAATAACACGGTTGTTGACAGTCACCAAAGTGCCGTTTTATAGAGGAGGAAATGGGGATACACCTGAGCCAAGCCTAGCAGGTCTGGCCACTGTCACCTGATATTTCCCCCAATTCCCTGCCCCCCAGCACCCCAAGCCCTTCACACAGCTCTAAAAACTGCTGCTAACATCCCACTCCTACATGTACAAACCTGAACTCAGGAAGGGATCCCAGGACGCTACAGAAGCCACTGGCTCACCACGGCACAAGGATACAGTTGGGGCACCATGGGGCAACCCTGGTTTGGAGAAGCTGGAGTTCTAGGAACTGAAATATTTTAGGGTAAGGCTGAGCAGGTCAGCCTGGGGGACAGACGGGAGGCAAGCAGGGGCTGCATAGAAGGGCATGCTGCCCCCATGATCCATGGTCACCTTCATCCCAGTAGGGCAATGGAGGCAGGGTGGGGCATTCACTTAAACAAAACTAGAGTTTGCATTCAGACTGCTTTGACTTTCATGTGGGGCCTGGTGTGGCAGCCATGTTTTCATGTCACCAGGGCAGCGGGATCCTTAGGAAACTGGCAGACAGAACGCAGCTCTGCAGTCACCTGTGGGTTTGTGTGTATGGGTGCACCTGCATGCACATGTGTCTGGTCAGGGCTGACCCTCTGAGCACCCAGGGACAGCCCGACATAAAGCACTGGCAGTGGAGGCCCAGGGCAGCCCACGCTATGAAAACTACTGTCTTCAGACTGGGATCCTGGTGCCCTCACAGGCTCACACCGGCCAGATCCACCCCACCTCGCATGTGTTCGGGCCTCACCCCATCTTGGAACTCCATAAAGCAAGTGCTAAGCTGGGCTGACTGTCATGAGACCTTCAGACCTTGTGAAGCAACACCCCAGGCGGTGGCGGGCCTGCCCACTCCATCCCCCAATGCTCTGTAGATGAGGCTGAGGACTAGGGAACAGCGCCAGCTCGGAAGGGTTGAACCACACCGTCCAGGGCCAGCTACGCCCTGGGGGATGCTCTCATTTTTCTCTCCCAAAACAAGCTCAACCTCTCCACCTAACTCAACTCATTGCCTCCTCCTGTGTCAGGCCCTCTCCAATGCTGGACTTTTCACAGGCTGCTCCCACACACACAAACTCCTCCCGAGGCAAACTCATAGGCAGTGGGTTGAGTCTTGGTCCTGTTGTCTCTGCATCCCAAGCACTTGGAGCTTAGTATACAGTAGGCACAAAATAAATACTAGCACAAGAAATGGCTGAGGAAGGGAAGAGAATGAGCTGGTCAAAACTCCTGGCAGCGCTGAGTGTGGTGGCATGCTGCCAATAGTCCCAGCACTCAAGAGGCAGAGACAAGAAGACAGGAAGCTCCAGGCCAGCCAGAGCAGCAGGTGAGCCCAAGCCAGCTCCTGTGTCTGGAGAACCCGAGACACGGAAAAGTATACTGACCCATCAACCCAAAAGATTCAGAAGCCAGCAGGAATGGCCACAACTTCAACCATCCATGAATAGACTGACCACCCTGATCCTTCTGGGCAAAACCCTGGACCCCATGAGCAGTCCACTGCTCCGGTCCCTCCTCAGGTAACCCCAGTGAACGAGTCAGGTCTTGTCTGAACTACCTTCAAAACCATCCCAGGCCTCTGTATACCAAACCAGGTCAGTTGCCACCATCTGAGGACTTCTCCCTAGGCCACAAGGCCCAACCTTGAGGTTCTGTGTCTACTAAAATACCTTTGGCACCAATGTCCTTCACAACCTAGGCTCTCTCCAAACAAAAACCACTAGTCACACCAGACAGGGCAGGGACATGGGCAGCTGGGAGTTCCGTGGCACCCCACAGCTGGGATGAAAACCGGGGGGGGGGGGGGAGGGGGTGGGGGGCAGTTGGGAGGTCTGCGGCACCCCACAGCATGGGATGCAAATGGGGGGGCGGGGGCGGGGGCAGCTGGGAGTTCCGTGGCACCCCACAGCCTGGGATGCAAACCGGGGGGGAGGGCAGTTGGGAGTTCTGTGCACCCCACAGCCTGGGATGAAAACCGGGGGGCGGGGGCAGCTGGGAGTTCTGCGGCACCCCACAGCTGGGATGCAAACCCGAGGCACCGCTCCAGGGCCTGCTTGGTTCCAGGCATCTGGGGTCCAAACAGCTCCTTGCTATCATTTTCCCAACCCAGCCTGGTTTGCCCTGGCAAAAGTTAGCTGGAGCCACAAAGAACTGATACCTCTATCCTTCAACAAGGAAGACGCCCAGCCCAGCGCCGTCCCTCCAGCCTCCCTTGCTGGCTGACCATTCGGCCCCTCTAACCTGCAGAATGGTGAGAGGGGCAGGTGTTGCAGGGCTGAGCCCAGAAGGGGACGGGGTGCAGAAGGGGTGCAGCCACTTCTCCGAAGAGGACTTCTTCCCAAACTTGTCTAGAAGAAATCCTGGGCTGGCTGCCTCCCACCAGTTCCTCCCCTCCACAGCCCCTCCCCTCACAGTCCCTCCTCCCATGTCTTCAGCCAGGCTCAGTGCCCTGCCAATCCCCCCCCCTCCCAGACACACACACACACACACACACACACACACACACACAGACACATACACACCCTACCAGAGGGAGTGGGCGGTTCCCCTCACAGGCTCAGTCTCTGGGAGCCAAGGACCCCACCCCAGCTCCCCACCCCCACCAGCCCAGGCAGCTGACCTGGAGAGGAAACGCCTGCCATCTGACTCACAACCACTAGCCCAGCCAGCAACTGACTGTGTGAGCAGTCGCCTGCTGTGTGGATATTCAGATATGAAGCAGGTTCTCCCATTCCCAGGCCTTGGGCCTCAGTTTCCCTGTGGTGTCTCGGGGTTCAAAAAAAAGGGAAAGGGGCTGGATGTGGTGGTTCATGCCAGCACTTGGAAAGTAGAAAAGGCAGATCTATGTGAGTTCGAGACCAGTCGAGTCTACGTGACAAGTTCCAGAACAGTCAGAGTTACACAGTGAGACCCTGTTTTTAAAAAAAGAAAAGGAGGAGAAAGGAAGTCTGAAAAGGCTAGCTTGACCCCCAACACACCCAACATAACACCTTTCTAGTCATCTGGCAAATGGCATCTCCTGAACTAGAGAAGAGGGGTACTCTATAGTTGTGGCTGCACCTCAAAACTGACATTCGTACTTTACTCCCTTGGTTTTCAGAGGCTGGGGAACCTGCCCCCTTGGGCTTCAGACCTCCAGGTCACCCACTGCCCAGAGCTGTTCCCTCTCACATGCCATCTCCACCCTCGGCTCCTCACTTCCAACCCCTCCTTGTTCTAGGTAACCAGCAGGCCTGGGCAGGAGCCACAGATGTACTAGCATGGTTCTGCAGGGCCCCCAGGGTTGGCTGTGAGCACCTGAACCTAGCAGGCTCACACAGCTAACGGGTCCAGCCCAGGGTTCCAGGACAGGAAAGGGTCAATATGGGCAGTCCTGCCAAACATCGGCCCGGAAATGAGAGCCACTGGGAGCAGAAGAACCAGGCCCTGTACTGGGATACAGAAGCCAAGAGCAGCTTGAGGTGGAGACCACCTCAGAGAGCTCCAATGGAGGGAGAGGGCAGAGGTCACTGGTGAGCAAATAGGCAAAGAGGCCCCAGAGTGATCCCCAGTCCTGGGAGGGGAAGAACTGGCAGGCTTCTCCCTACCTGGCCCTAAAAACCTAACGGTGAGAGTGGAAAACAGCTGCTTACAGAGCACAAGGAAGCTGGCGAGGACCTCCCCACCTCCGGCTCCAGGGCCCCACTCCCAGGCAGCTCTCACCTGGGAACTCTGTTTACTGCCTAACACCAGACCAAACTGTCAACTCTAGGTGGGGTGAGGCTGCCTGAGTCAGCGAGGAGCTGCAAGCTGGGGCAGTGTAGCTAGCCTGAGGTGGGAAGGATGCTGGCAATAAACAGGTCTTGCTGCCACCATGCATTCTCCTGAGCTTGGCAAGCAATCCAGTCAGGCCCCTCTGCCCCCAGGCCACTGCACAATGCCTTCTGGCTCCTCCTGCTCCTTCTGTCCCTTGCCCTGCTCGCCTGGGGGCTCTGAGATCACCAAGGCAATAGCCTTAGCCAGAGTCCCATCTCGCTGTAGCCAGAGGGATGGTCCCTGCCAGGGGACCTGCTGTTGGGTGGCTGGGTCATCTTCCCAAACTGAGTGGGTCGTGATCCCCCAGCACAGGCCCTGCCACAGAAGGGCACACTGCCATCTCCACCCCCATGCTCTTAGCTGAGGTGCACGGCTGCACCAATAGCTCCTGAGGTGACAGGGATTTGGTCAGGTGGCAGTAGGATCGCTATGATTCTAAAGGACCTCGCGAGCTGCCCCTGGCCCAAATCCAACCTATAGGGGCTCACTTGACTCCGCAGGCTTTGCCTACCTCAAATCCCAAGGATGCACACACACACACCCTGCTCCAGAGGCCAGGAGTGAGTCGGTGGAAGGCAGTGAGCACCTGCTGAGTCACGGATCACAGACCCTAAGACCTACGTGTCTGGAAGTGTCAAGTGGTGCCCACTGCACAGGCACGTCTAGCTTGAAGCTGCCAGGACCCCAGCCCAGCTCTTTGATGCCATGGGAACTTGGCAGTAACACGATGGGGTGGGGCCGGGGGCAGCTGATAGTGACTCAGCTGAGGGCATTCCCAGGGGATGAGTCACGGCACGGCCTGGGTGCTGCTGCCACCCTCCCACCCTCTAGCAAGGCCTGCAAAGGAAGGAGCCACCCAATAGTGGGCTGGCCCCACGCATCTGTGGCAGGCTGTTCTTCCTCCTCCCACAGAGGGTCCCGCTCTCAGGACACAAGGACATCAAAGGAGACATGGGAGAGGGACAAGGCAACTCTGAGCTCAACGCCTGCAGGCTGGTTCCTGCTCTGATCTCAGCTCAAGGTAACAGGGGCCATGACTCGGCTGAATTTGCAAAACTCAGTGCTGGGCAGTTCCCAAGGGGCAGGTGACAAGCCTGTGGTCAAGGAGACCCAGGTCAGGTTGAGGGCCCGGGCTGTTTGTGCCCTCACTGCCAGCACTTACTCCAGTCAGGAAAGAGATTTGAGGTCCCTTCCTGGCCTGCCTCACAACACCCAACAATCTGCCCACCACTCCTCTCTCATCATTGGGATGCAAGGACCAAAGGTACAGCCAGGACCCTGGTGAGGCACCTCAATGCTGTCTTCTGTCCTCACCCATACAGACCGGGGCCAGGTGTGTACTTCAGCATGCTGGGCAGGGAGGAGCTCAGCAGGAGTGGCTGGAAGGGTTTCTGCCATGTGTGGGGCGTAGGGAGTGGGGAGAATAGCCTCCCGCCCCAGGCCTCCTGGGCCCAGATCCAATTTTCCGTCTGAGAAAGTGCTTCTGACTATTAAATATTTATCCCAGCAAGGCAGGCCTTGGCTCCCTTGGCCTATGACTTCCAAAAAAAGAAAAACAAAGGGAAACCCGGGAGGCAGAAGGGGAACAGGAAGACGAGAAAGGGCCCCTGGAGAAATACCCTTCTCAGGACAACAGCTTCCCTTAGAGTGGGGTCCAGGATTGGGAGCTCAGTGTCTCCACCAAACTAAGCCTGCCTGAGCTCATAGATACACCCTCCCCTCTGTCCAACTCCATTTCCCCTGGCCCTGGCCCCTGCCCAAGAACTACCCAGATCCAGCCTGGTGAACATGGTTACTATTGCTGTGGCCTCCCTCCTCATGGACCCCAGTGACTCCTCTGTGTGCCCAGGCCACTTCCCACTTGCTAGACAAGCAACGGATGAATCTCTACTCTCCCTCCTAAGTCTGGGGCGTAGTGGTACTAGCGCTCAGGCACAGATGGAGTGGACAGGCAGAGATGAGTAGGTATCTCTCACCCTTGACTCCATCCCTCAGTGGGCAGAGGACAAAGCCAGTGAGAGCGTGACTCTTTGTTCCCAGGTGACAGTGATGCCCAGGTAGATAAGAAGACTTCCACTCTTACTGCCAGGGCTCAAGCCTCTCCTCCCTAGCCAAGCTGGGCCAAGCTGCACCTGAAACACAAACATCTTCAGCAAAGGGTGTGGAGGAGGTCACAGACAGCTAGAGTAAAATGTTTCCATTGGGGCAGCAACTAGTGTGCCCAGGACAGAAGAGCCTGTCTGAACAGAGAGAATAAAGGCATTGCTGCAGGCCCAGCCAAGTGGAGATGGGTACCGCTGCCTGGCACAGGAGATTGGGAGGCTAGGGGACCTGCCAACTTGATCCTTCTGCCTACTCTCAAGCCCAAACTACCCCTTTCTTGGCTGACAATAAAAGGCAGATACAGCCTAGGGTTTGGAGAGAGCAGGATGAAACACTGTCCTGTCCCCTGAGCCATCCAAAGCAAGAGCCTTGCTGGGTGGTGGCGGCACACACCTTTAATCCAGAACTCAGGAGGCAGAGGCAGGCAAATCGCTGAGTTCCAGGTCAGCCTGGTCTACAGGGCAAGTTCCAGGACAGCAAGGGGTAAGCAGAGAAACCCTGTCTCAAAAATAAATAAATAGAGGGGGGGAAAGAAAAGAAAAAAGAGCCCTGGGTGTTGTTAACTATTGATACAGTCCCAACAGTGGCTTTTAGACGAGGTCGGGTGCATGCAGGGTATTACGGCCGTAGACAACAGTGTCTTTTAATCCCACCCATTCAGGTAGGGAAGTGATTCAGGGCAACCCCCACTACTTAGGAACCATCAGAGCCCAGCCTCTTTTGTGCCCTGCCTGGGAGAGCAGGACAGCTAGTACTTTTCAGAATCACCGACCTTTTCCCTCAGCTGGGGCCCAGAGAGTTCCACCATGACACAGGGCTCAGCGTCCCTGCTTCAGTATAGATTCCTACCAGTATGAACACCCTGTCCAGGTGACCCTCGCTGGGGCACAGCTTGCTCTCAGCATGGCAGCCCAGGCACTCCTGGGCACAGATGTCAGGTCTGGACCTACACCCTGACCCCAAGGCTGGGCACCTGAACAGCTGCTCTGGCCCTATTCTCTGGGGGAAGAAGCTAGCCCCACCACGGTCCCCGACACCAAAGAAAGAACATTCAGATGCCTCTCATGATGTCACAGCACCAGGGGACTCCCCAGATCCAGCTATAGTTTCTTGAAGAATGCTGGGAGTTAGTGCCTAGGCCATGCACGCTCCTGCAGGTGCAGCGCAAGGGTCGCTGCCTGGAAAACATGACTCCCTGCCACTCCAACTTTCTGGGATTCAACTATACCTCCAGGAAGAAACCCACATACATGCCCTGAGGGGTATGACATCCAGCACCTATGGGGGTAAACTCCTGAGTCAGTCAGGAAACTTGTGTAAGGTCCATCTCACAGTTGGTGAAGGTGTTTTGAGCATTCCTGCCTTGGGCGTAGCCCTATACAGCTCCACCCCTCCCCACCCTCGCCCAACCTTGTGTAGGTGCATTCCCAGCACATCCACCAGGGGGCAGCCTCTGTGCTTGGAACAATGGTGGCTCTGCCCTGGGAGATTGCCAGCGTTGGGCACCAGGGCCTTAAGAGACCAGGTATGACTGGCATAGGAGGGCAACTCTGCCTTGTGGGGAGTGAGCTACAGCTGGTAAAGACCTAAGCCCAATCCTCAGGGAGTGAGTGTCCTTATGAGGCCCTGGGCCCTATGTGGGGCTGAGGACATCCTGGGCAGAACCATCCAGGCCCTCATCCTGAAAGTCTCCTATCAGAGCTGCAGTAGAGGCCACTGCTCTCACTCCCTAAGAGCAGGTGGACACGGGAGAAACTGCTCCAGACAAGCTAGGGAACCATCAGTTAAAGGAGGGAAGAAACACCCTTTTTCATGGGAGAGGCACACCAGTGGAAGGTGGAGAGTGGAATGTTAAGAAAGGTGGTCCCTCAGCCTGAACCTAAGAAACTGGAGACAGAGCAGCCTTATGTCCTTGGGCCTCTTCTCTCTGGGGAGGCCAATCCGCAGTCATATTTTCCAGGACCAGTAAAAGAAAAGAGGTGGTGTGTGGTCATCATTCTCCCAACTGCGAACTGGCTAGTCAGGGCCCTTGGGCTCCCATCAGTGTGTGAGTCCCAGCAGGAGAACCCTAGGAGAGCAAAAGCCAGTTCCCAAAGAGTCCCAGCTCCAGTCCAGCCTCAACCCACACCAGACAAATAGGCCACAGGAAGGACGATGGTAGCTCCACTCTGGGTGGAGAAGTAGCCAGGCAGGGCCACCCCTCTGCATTGCCCTCGGCATCATGAATGGCTTCATCAGTATAATTGTCATCAACTTGTTTTCCCCAAAGAGAGGGTCTCAGCCTGCACCAATGCAGCTCCTCTGTCTCAGTTCTCTGGCCAGCTGCTGGCCAGGTGCCCTGGGTGTGGCCAGGCTGCTGCATAACTGACCCAGAGTCCCGGTCAGTTTCTTGCTGCCCCACCCTGCCCTCCAAGACACCGGAGGTCGGCCCAGGCCAGGCCAAGGACCATCACATAAAAGCACTAGGTACCCACTCTGCAGCAGATGCTCACAAGGAGCACTGACCACGGGGGGCGGGGGGTGGGGGGCAGGGACGTCATCCCCTTGATCGGAGCTACAGGACTCTATTCCGGCTCTTAGGAAGGAAGTCCCAGACCTCAAATCCAGCCTTGCCCCAGTTACACCTAGTTGGTCGCCCCCATACATAGTAGCCTCACGGGTGGATCCAGCACAGCGCACAGCCTGGAAGCCCCAATCTAAGTCCTGGTCTAGCCAGGATGCCCCCCCCCCAAAAAAAAGCAGGTCAGAGGCTAGATCTAGCATAAGATCTTCTAGCCTACAACTGACGACTGTTCACCCTGGGCCCGTTCCATTCAGTATGAAGCACACATGCCTCTATAGCCGCCTTACTGGGCAAAGCAATGTCTCAGGGAGGACCACGATGAAAAGGTGAGCGGGACAGCGAGCGAGTCCGGAGTGCAAGGAACCACACAGAGTAATGGAAACCCGAGAACCAAAGTGAGCAGCAGAGAAGGGGAAAGGAGTGAGAAGCACGAGTCAGGCACAAGTACGAGCGAAAAGCAGAAACCCACAGAGCCAGCGAAGGACCGGAAAGCACAGGAGACCCGCCCACTAGCCCCATCCATCTCTCTCTTGCCCTTCCTCCCGCGCGTGCAGCCTGTCCCACACTGCGCGACCCCGTTAAGCCTCGGCGCGCCCGCAGAGCCCACCCGCCCGAGGGAAGCGGGCTGCAGGCGGGAGTGAGGCGCACCACTGCCGGGGGCTCCGGGCCAGGTGGGCAGCACCACGTGGAAGCAGTCGCACATCTTGGCGGCTGGTGGTGCGGGCCGGCGGCGGCCCTGCGAGTCTAGTCACGGCCGGGAGATGATGCGCCTGGAGAAGGGCGGCGCCCACAGCCCCGTTGCCTTGTGCTGCCGCGGGCAGCCGGGCTGTGACTGCGGCTGAGGCTTGGGGTACCTCTAGACCTTGGCTACGGCCCCGCCCTGGTCCGCCCAGCCTGCGCTGACCACTCTGCAGGGTCGACGTGGGCGGTGCCGGCGGCCTCATTCAGCCCATTGGTTGCCGGAAGCTGAGGCTCCGCCCCACAAAGGACCCAGCCCTTCGGACCCAGGCCCCTGTGGTCTGCCCTACCCACGACTGATCTCACCCCCACCCTCTTCCAGATCGCGTTTCTGAGGCAGAGATTTGAAAAGTTCCTGCGGGGGCCACCAGGTCCCTACACCCGAGATCTTCCTTACCTCCAGCTTGGAAAAGTGACGGCGTAGCACAGGAGTCCTGTGAAATGACTACTTGAGATCTGAGCTTCTCAGAAGATGGGGTTCAGGGGCAAGAGAAGAGAGAGGGACAAGCAGACGACAGGCTAGAAGCCGCTAGCTTGGACAGGGTGCCCTGCGCAGATCCCCTGTGGGCCGTCCAGGAGGACAGGATCAGAACAGGAGTTATTATGCAGCCCCAAGTCAGGATTTGTTCTTTCAGTGGTTTTTGTAAAGAGCCTAGCAGCTAGGACCTGGGTATGATAAGACTCTACTGACTTGTGCCCTCCGACCCCGAGCGGTACGACAGCGAATGTGCAGGTGAAGGCCTCTGTGGGATAGTACTGGACGACTAGGGAGGGTTCCTTAAAAGTTTCTGGCAGCCTAGGAGCAAAACAGTGCAGGAACTATTCCTGTCAATGGAAAGATAATATGGGTTCTCAGGGTGGGCAAGAGAGCAGGAGCTGAAAGTGGCCTGCTGGGACTGGGCTTAGGAAGACTGCCAAAGGCTCCAGGAGGAAGCCTGGGGGAGGCATTCTGTAAATCAAGAGCAGCTGGACAGGGGCAGTGAGGTTGGATGGGATATTCTGGGTGTTAGCAAAGGGGTCTGGGTAAGGCCTTGACAGGAGAGGGCAGGATCCCCCTGGGCTCTACCTGGGTACCATGCAGAGGGAACACATCTGGGGAAGTTCTGTTTCCAGCAGAGTTGGCTAACCCCAGCGTGGTGCAGGTCAGAGGGAGAAAACAATCCCTGGCAATATGCTGATCATGCTAGGTGGACAGAAAGGGGGTATGTACACCCCGTTTTCTCAGGTAAGAAGATGGGGTGGGAGCCAAGGGAGGCTAAGCCACAGAAGAAGAGCCACACAGACACAGGGACAAAATCACACTCACACCAGCACACACATCAGAGGCCACCATGGGTGTGTCCCCATGTGTCAGACATGCAGACACGTGCAGTACACATATACAGAGAAGTGTACAGGACATAGATGCATGTGCACAGGTGCACACAGTCTTAGGTGCAAGCGGGAACTTGGCACAGAAGTGGGGGCCAGGTGAGCCAGTGAGCAGCGGGATGACTCACTCTCGGCAGTTCCCGTTAGCTGGGCTGCAGTGCTGGGCAACCTGCCAGCAACACACAGGTCAGACAGACACCAGTCACTGCTGGGAAGCAGCCCGTGCAGCCTTCTCCTCCAACTGAATAGGCCACAGCCCTGCCTTGGTGGGGCACAAGTCTCACCCTCTCCCTGGGAAATGCCCTGGATAAAGAACACTACCTTGTCTCTGGGTATGTGGGACTCTGTGATCTGGGGTACATCTCTGTCTGCTGGGTAGGCTAGAAGGTCTCAGCCTGCCAATCCAGTGTATTTGAATCTGGCTTCAGGATCTGAGAGCAAGGGCCTGGGAAAAGGTACGGTTTTGTATACCCGAAGACTTTTGGGTGCACACAGACCTAGCTGTCTTGGTCTCTGGGCAATGTTCAAGCAAATGGTCTCAGATTGTCTAGCGTGATCCACCTAGGACCGTGTGGCACCCATCAGCTTTTCAGGAAAATGGATGTTACCCAGGCTACCCAAATGCACACAGGACAGGTGTAACACAAATTCTAATTGTTCCTAATAAAAACCCGGAGTCAGATATAGGGATTAATGCTGAAAGATCAGAGAAGCAGAGTAGCCAACCACTAGAGAGTTCTTATCTCTACCAATGCTCAGACCAAAGGGGTGCTCCTATCTCTACAAAACCTGTGTCTGTCTCTATGAATCCTCAGACTGCATCTGAGCTGCTGGCTCCTCCTGCCTTGTATTCTCTTCTCCATCCAGCCATATCACTCCCATCTCCGCTTCCCTAGTGCGGGGATTAAAGGCATGTGATCCCAAGTGCTGGAATCACCTTTGTGTGAGCTCTGTTTCTCTTTTAGACAGATTCAAGTTCATGTAGCTCAGGGTGGTCTTGAACTCACAGAGATCCATCTGCCTCTGTCTTCCAAGTGCTGGGATTAAAGGTTGCGCCATCACTGCCTGGCCACTATGGCTAACTAGTGGCTCAGCCCTGCACTCTGATCTTCAGGCAAGCTTTATTTGTTAGATTACAAGCAAAATATCACTACAGACAAGCCTACGGCTGTCATGTTAGGGGCATGGTACTAGGTAAGGGGTACCTAGGTGTGCCAACACTCTCCCATTTGCCACTGGAGCTGCAGCATGACTGATGTGGGAGGGTCATCTATGTGTTACTTTCATTGGTTAATAAAGAAACTGCCTTGGCCTTTTGATAGGACAGCAGTTTAGATAGGTGGAGTAGACCGAACAGAATGCTGGGAGAAAGAGAGCAGAGTCAGGCAAAGGCCATGATTCTCCGACCCAAAATGGACCTAGGTTAGGATCTTTCCTGGTAAGCCACCACCTCGTGGTGCTACATAGATTATTAGAAATGGGTTAATCAAGATGTGAGAATTAGCCAATAAGAGGCGAGAACTAATGGGCGAGGCAGTGTTTAAATAAATAGTTTCCGTGTAATTGTTTCAGGTGTAAGCAAGCCAGGTGGGACAGAACAAGGGGCCTGTGCTTTTCTCAGGCGGCAAAAAGCAGCCCACCATTCCTTTTACTACACATGACTGTCAAGGCAAGGTGAGGGCCCAACATGGGAGTCCAGCTGCCATCTCCTGGAAGATTCCCCCTTAGGTTGGAGGCCAGACTAGATACTCTGAGGGAAAGACCCCTTGGGATACCTGCCTAGAGAGCTTTTCCACCCCAGGGAAGAACCACAGACAGAAAAGCAATACCATCCACCCACGCCAATATACACGCCACAAACCACCTTGGATTTGTCCCAGTACACACACACACACACACACACACACACACACACACATACTCCTGTGCATACACTCAGATTTGTGTGCACAGATATGTACAACAGAATACAGGCGCCACCTGCTTGGTCCTGAGTAGAGCTCTTGAGGCCTCACAGGCTGTGGCACACTCACTGTGCCTTTGGAAGACCCTGCTACAGAAGCCAGGCTGCACCTATGTGGGTGGACCAGCCACAAGCCAGGCTTTTCTCCCCAGGGCCCAGATAGACCCTTCCATCACTACCAGTATTCTGAAGCCTAACCCTAGGCCTGGGATCACAGCGAACAGGAGCAGGGGAGAAGAGTGTATGAGGTAGGGGAGCTGCTATGCTTCATGGACTATCCCTTCCCCCAGGCTGCAACCTGGCCATCTTCTGCTGCAGAGCAATGCACTGCCAGGAGTTCCCGTCACCACGCTCCAGTTCCAGCCTCCTCCCCACGTCCTCCCCTGGGGACAGATGCTCTGCTGGGGAAGGCTCCTACAGCAAGGTCCAGCTCAGGAATTGAGATGACCCGACCCACAACCACATCCAGCACACACACAAAGGATGCTAACCATCAACTCAGGGGTATTGTGCAGTGGCTCCCAGGGTCTGGGGGAACAGGAAGGATTGGACCTGAAATGGTCATGGCTATATCCCTCTCTGCCCCTCCCCACCTGCCTGACCCAATGCTCCACTGCCTCTCCAGGAAGGCTGGCCATAACGCCCAGATCATCAATGATTGATGTATCCTGCAGCAGCCGCAGCAACATGGCAAAAATAGTTTTGCTATCATCATGGCCCAGCCCCGCCACAGCCCACAGGAATGCAGAAGGTGGTGGCATCTGTGACCGCTCTCCCCACAGCAGCCACCCCACTCATCTCAGTCCTTTGTGTAATTCTTTCTTCAGACAATGGAGAAAGTTCCAAGCCTGCAGGTGGGAGCCCCTTGTCCACAACCCTCTATTTTCCTGACCACAGGCTCTACTTCATCTTCCTCAATACTGAGGACTTGTCAGGTCTGGGCATGGTCCCCAGGTCCTCCCAACCCCTGCATCCATGCAGCTCAGCACACGGCTGGGATTAGGAAGTAGGGAGACGGTGGGATATATTGGGGTGTTCTGCTGCCCCTATTGCAGTGAACCAGGCGAGCTGACCTGGGACTTGTGGGAGCTCTGGACTACACAAACCACAGGCACAGAAGCAGGGATGTGACACTCCCACCTCACTGGAAGACACCAGTGGTTTCTGTGACAATCTACTCAACCCCTCCTTACTGTAGGTGACCCTGGGGGCTGGCTGTAAGCTCTGGGCAAAGCAGCACTAACTACCCCAGGCAGAGGTGGGGGCTAGAGGAGGAAGGAGTGGGAGAATGAGGGATTCTTAGGGCTCTTTCCCATGGCTCACTGGTTCTGCCCTTCCTCTCTCTCTCTCTCTGCCCATTCTCTCGCACCTTAACTTTAGGGACCCCCCTATCCTCCAGCCCAATCTGCCCAAAACTAACCAAGTAGAGCTTCTGCCTCCCTTGTCCACCTACCTGGATGGTCTGACCTCCTTCAGTCTGTACTATGCCCCTTCCTCAAGGCAGCACGTCTTTAGTGGGGTCCCTGGGGTCCCCCAGGTCTGTTGGTTCACTGTGTTTGCTGCAGAAATACCACTAATGGCTGGGCTTAAATGACACACACTTGTTTTGCCTATCCTGGGCATTTTCAGGGCTGTTTCTTTGAGGGGGTCCTTGAACAGCTGCACTCCCAATGTCCAACAATGTGTGCTTTCACATGCCGATCTCTCTCCAGGCCCTCTTGCTTCCTCCCTCCTGCTAGCTAGAGTCTCGCCATTTAACCGAGGCTAGTCTCAAATTTACTATGTAGCTTAGGCTAGCTTCTAACTTTTGATCCTCTTCTCTCAGCTTTCCCAGAGCTGATGTGACAGCTACCTGAACCGGGACTATCTCCACATCTCCAGATCCTCATTTAATCTCATTGTGCACACCCATCCATTTTAGATTTCATATCCGTGTCTTCTTAAGGTTAGAATGTGGACATCTTTGGGGGCATCATCCAGCTGACTCAGTGGTCACACAGGTCACCCCAACCTGGACCTGTGACCCAAGAACTAGAAGCTTGTGTCTTCTGAAGTCGTTCCTCCTACCTGACAAAGCTGGGACCTAGATAGACTTGGGAGGTGCTGGGGCAGGAGGATTGCCCCAGCTCCACTCCTTTTTCCAGTCTCCCTGTCCCACTTTGAGCCCAGACCTCAGTCTTCCTATCTCCTTCCAGCTCCCTGGACCTCAAGGACAGCAAGGGCAGCGGGTGAGGGGAACTGGAGCAGTACCAAGGGACAGAGGACCTGCTGGGTCACAATGCGGTGAAGAGAAGCCAGCGTCTGCACACACAGACACTGTCTGACTGACACCACCCTACCGGGCCACTCTGAGAGTTGGAAGGGCTAGTTCAGAGCTCTCTGCCTGCAGGGCTTAGAGAACAGTGCCAGGCTGGTCTGCCCAAGGGAATGGGGAAGGCTGTGGTCCAAGATGCAGAGAATGATCTCATCTTGTCACTTTTAAATCAAATTTTCCAATAGTTCTTCTGAGGAGGCTGGGGATGAAGGACTGAGTAATCCACACAAGGGCAGGGTCCAGGGAAGTCCAGGGGAGGGGGAGATCTGGGTATGGAGGAGGGGACCAGAGTTGGGTTTAGATGCAGGCCTGACCCTCCTGCTCCACAGGGAAGGTTGGTAATAGCTGCTAGTCCAAGATTACTAGGGTAGAGATGTTACAGGCTGCAGGCCGACTTCATGAACCTCAGAATGGGGACAGATGGGAAAGGGCCAGGGATTTCTGTAGCTGGGGGCTGGGAGAGAGGGGCAAAGTTAGTTCATCAGGGCCCTTACCCACACAGTTGGATGCAGGAGGCTGTGAGATTGTCCATGATCAGGACTGGCCTTGCTCTGCCTTAGGACTGGCTGGTGACCGGGCTCAGACTATCAGCACATGAAGGAAGACAGTGGCTCTCCTGCTCTGCAGGCAGTAGACCCTCATCTTCATTCAAGCGAGAGTGGTCTGGGATTGGGTCAAATCAGCGAGACAGACTTTTTTCATTGTACCCATGTGGCCACCAGTCTGGAGAAACCATTCAATAGGAGCGCAGGAACCTGGGCCAGGAAGGGTGTAGGCCAGCACCGTGACAGTGGCTTTACTCCCTGGTCAGGTGCGACTGCGGGGGACACATCGTAAACACAGTCACCAGCGCCATAACGAAATGAGAACCCCTCATTTGCAGGGCAGAGGAGGCAGGAAAGCCAGCCCGGATAGCAGGCTAGGTCACACTAGCTGCGTATCCTCCACTCTGCAAGTACCGACTCGACAAGTTATGCCCCGCAAGGGACCAGAGAGGGCGGGGCATGGGCGGCGGAGCTGTGGGCCACGCCACGCGGTGGCGTGCTGACGCCACGCGAAGCACGCCGGAAGCCTGCGGGCGCGCACCGTTGCCCGGCAACCCGCGGCACAGGCTGCGGGCTGAGCTGGCTGTGGGTATCTCCCGGCCGGGCGCCGGGAGGCGCGTCACGGTGGCGAAGGTGGGTGTGCGCCTTGTGGGCCTCTGGGAGCCCAGGACCCCCTCCTCCCGGACCTCGGACCTGGTCCCGGACTCCCGCCTGGACGCGATCCCCGAGCTCCCTTCCCTCAGCCAGCGTCCTCGCAGACCCAGTTCTGTGGCCCGTCCACCAGGACGCACGTCTACCCACAGGCCTTCCTTCGCCTCCACTTGTTTGGGCCTAGGACACGCCCCCGTGCAGGACTGGCCACCCACGCGTGCCAGGAGGGGTCGACTCCCAGGAAGCCCTGGGCAACTCCAGCTCAGCAGCTGCATGCCTTCTGAGCAGCTTTCCTTCGGGTCGGCTGGCCTGGCCATACCAAGATGCAAGGCGGGCAGGAGGTGAGGAGAGAGTCAGCGAATGACCTCGTACAGGACCCTGGAGAGGGGTCCCTCCACCAAACAGCTGGAGAACAGAGTGGTGACGATTTGGAAGGGAGGAGACTCTGTTACAATGATCCCCTGACTCTGCCTGACGCGAAAGCTAGCGGCTCCAGGCTGGAAGAGGGTCTTCCCACCTGCACACTCGGCTGTCTGCACCCAGGGGAGCTCAGCGGCGGGTGGGGAGAGTTCGAAGGCTTCAGGGAATCTTCAGCTAAGTCTAAGCAGTTTGCTCAGTCCTTTGAACTCCTAGGGAGAGCCGCAGAACACCAGTCACTGAAAACCCCTTCAATCCCAAAAGAGCATGGTTCTTGCCAGATGCAGCAAGGTGGACCCTGGGTGACAGGAACTGCTGCTGGCTCATCTTCTGAGGTATTTCTGTGGTCGAGTGGGAGGTATTTTGTATAGCCATTAGACTTTGCCCAGGCTTCTGTGCACTTGGGGGTGCTGGGGGTCTTGCCAGCCTTTGAGTCCTCTCCTGGTTTGTCTTTCGCTGTGTGGTTGGCTGTCCTCTTCTTAAGAGGAGGACAAGGAATGAAGGGCTTGACTAGGGCACTCTGAGGAAATGGATCTGAACAAGGCATGGTGGGGGCCCAAGCTGGGCAGCTTCCTCTGAACTCTTCTCCTGAGGTCTGAAGCTGCACTAGTCCAGTCCTGTTCAGGGGACATGGGGGATCCCGAATTGCAGGTTTAGAACGCCTCAGATCTGAAAGTCAGATATCACAATTCAGTTTTGAGTACCGAGCCAGGTCATGCCAGGACAAGGGTCCTGCTTAGCCCTCAGAACTGACCACACCTTTGCCTCCTTGACTGCCTCTGAGCCCCGCCTGTCAGCCATTCTCGCCCCAAACTGGGCAGACTGCTGGTGAGACCTGTCTCCTCATGCCTCCCACGAGGGCCACTCTGAGGCAGTCAGCTGCACCTCCACGTTTGTTCTCCACCATGTTTGCAGTGATGAGAAGCATTTGCACAGGATGGGAACTTTACATAAAACACTGGGTGAGTGTAGGACTGTGCGCCCAGCCGGGCTGCAGCACACGGGCCCGCAGAACGCTCACCCCGAGTCTCTAACACCAGCCCCCTTCTGCTAGCACCTGGCTCAGACCCTGTCCACATCGCCCCACCTAACTCAGAGCCCGTGTAAGGTGAAGTGCCATGGAGACAGGGACAGTGCTGGCGTCCACCTTCCCCACGTGTCCTGACAGAACTCAACTGTGCACTCATTTCCTGCAAGCCCATGGCTTTCACTGTACTTTTTTTTAAGCTGCCTGGAGATTCTGAGGAAAATGTCATCAGTCACGGCCACACCAACTGAGCATGCAACCAGGACAAAATGCACTTATATTAAAGTCAATTATTTGGCATAAAGTTACCTAATGTATACATTGCTCCTAACGTTGGGATCTTCTTTCTTTGCAGTCCATTCTCAGCTATGAGAAGGTTTTTAGGTTTGCGTTTCAAGAAGTCCCAGTGGAACGGACAACTGAAGACATTTGTTCTCTAGACCATTTCTTAGAAACAAGCAGTGAAGAAAATGGTGGCCTTGCATCTGTGCCTAGACTGTGGTAATGGAACTTAGATTGGAACCAAGGGTGGCAAAGCAAACTTCACTTCCGCTTGCTAAGGTGGTTTCACATAGCTAAAATGATTGTGTGCCAGAGGGACCGGCAGCACAGATGGATGCTCCAGTAGTGTCCCTCCAGTGGTAGGGCTATTGCTAGGGACTTGGCTCAGTGGGACTCGACACCTTACGACCCTCAGCCAGTTATAGGAAGCACCCTAAGAGCAGCCACAGACCTTCAGGGTTACCTTGTGTGTGTTTCTAGAGAAAATCACACATAGGAGTGTCTGGCCGGCCATTTGGTAGGGATGTGCTCTCAGCCAGCAGTAACAATGGTAAGGGGCTGAGATACCAGAGATGCTGATTGAGGAGAAGGTGGGGTGAGCAGGCTCTGTCACCCGGGGCTCAGGGGAAGCTAGCTGTGTGCCTCAGGGATTCTGCATGCCTGGGCCAACCCAGAACCTGCCCAAAAGACCTTCCACAAGAGCCTGGGGATTTAGGCCTGGTGCCCAGGAGCCATGACCAGCAGGGCCCCGCTGCCTGGCGCTCCTGCAGAGCGTAGCCTATCAGGAACGCCTGCCTCAGGGCAGCCCCAGCAGGCCTCTGTCAAGTCCTTCAGAGGCCCAGGTGGCCCAGGTGGCCCAGGTGTCAGGTTTGGCAAGGCTAGGCATGCTGGGACAGGAGGACTGGTATTGCTTGAGGGTAGAACACAGTGTTCAGAAACACATGAGGGTTTGGAAAAGATGGCCCAGCATTGGCACATCCTGTGTGGCCTTGCAGCTCTTGGGTGCCATTTTAATCCTCAGGGCTCAGCACACATGGCACACAGCACTACCATGGCCACAGTCAACATTCCCTGTGGATTTCTCCACTGATTCTCCAGAGTGTGCACCCTGTATGTGTGCATCTGTGGATGGGGGACGTGTGTACCCTGTATGTGTGCGTCTGTGGGTGGGGGACGTGTGCACCCTGTATGTGTGCGTCTGTGGGTGGGGGACGTGTGCACCCTGTATGTGTGCGTCTGTGGGTGGGGGAACGTGTGCACCCTGTATGTGTGCATCTGTTCTGTGACCGGATGGTTGTAGACACTCGTGCAGATAACACCAGTAAATCTGGCCTTGGGGCTTCCCCAAGAAGATGCATAGGTAGGGAACGTGTGCACAGATACGAGGGAGGACAGGCTGATAGTGAATGTTTGGGTTTACGAGAACAGCCCCATCCTGAGTACTCATGGGGGGCCATGTGCTATGTGCTGTGGGACTGAGCTTCAGTAGCTGCTGGGAAGCCTTCCAGGTCTCCTGTTGTAACTGCATCTTTCTCCCAGTTCTGAATCTAGAAAGCTCTGGAGAGCCCTTCAGAACACTGACACTGTGTCCACTTCACGGCATCTCTGGAGTGAATCTCACTGTCGGGAGAAGCTCCTTCCTGTCCTTGGTGTAGACACTACTCAGAAGGTAAGGAGGCTTGGGGGGTGTGGAAGGCAGGCTTTGCTCACAAGCCCAGGCATAATACCTGCAGGAGAAAAAAAGATTTATTTTAGCTCAAATTTTAGCTACTTCAGCCTATGGTGAGCTGTTTCCGTGTCTCTGGGCCTGTGGTGAGATGGTGTCTCAGAAGAAAACTGTCATAGTGGGCAGGCAGGGACAGAGACAAGATACAGCCTCAAGGATGCATTTCCAATGACCCACTTCATTCAACCAGGCCTTACCCCTAAAATGTCTGTCTCGTCACAATGATGCTGTGGGCTTGCACCCATTGGTGGATTAACACAGGCATGAAGCCCTCAGGATCCAATCACTTCCAAAAAGCCGGCACCGGCACCCAGCCCCAGGACAGGAGCCTGTGGGGATGTCTTCACATTCAGGGGAAGTGGAGACTATGCTGTGGCCAGTCACACCGGCATGGTACACTTTGGAGACCACTGACCAGGGACAGCATGGACTGAATGCAGATTTACCTGCTGTCAGCGCTGGGAAGACCATCTTCCACAAGACCTTGGTGTACTTCTCAGAAGGGGACTGGAACAGGGCAGAGTTGGGGAGAGCAGCAGATCAGGGTGTCCTGTCTCTCTTGGGTAGCATGCTGCCCTAGATACATGTGTGACTCCAGCAGGGGTACACACCAGCAGGCATGAGGAGACAAGGTGTATGTGGGTCGGGGTGAGTGGAGGAGGAGGTGATGCTGTGCCTAGCAGAATGCCATGCAGTGCCACCCTGTTGGTGGTAGGCCTCTTGGGAGCTGCTAACGGAAACAGAAGGCGATGAAGAAGGATGGGCAGGAGCCAGGTGCTGCCAGTGGGTGATGCACGCAGACCAGGGCTACAGCAGCACACAGGAAGGGTTGGCAACGAGGGCAAGTTCTGCATGAACATGTGGAATGTGTGGGATCAGCAATGTAGTGGGTTGACTTGGTGCATACCTGAGAGGGGCCTTCTAAACACATGTGGCCCCAAGAAGAAAGCCTGATATCTGAGGGGGGAGCCAGCTAAGTCCAAGGCAGAGCAGCAGGAGAAAAAGGCTCGGGCGGTGGCTGGAGAACAGCAGTGGACAACGCCCAGTGAAGCATCAATGTGCACGGGTCAACCTCAGAGTTTCCCGAGATGTCACACCTTAGAGCAAGGTGCAAAAGGCCTTTTCATCTTAAATATTACTCAGAGCTTTAAATAAAGAGGTCAAGAAGGAAGGCAGGTTGGCCCTGGTGAGGGCCATGATGTGGGCTGCTTACTTTATCAGTGCAAGGTCACCAGGCTGGTTAGGAAATGAGTGAGGAGCTGGGAGGAAGAGCACCCTCCCAAAGCCCTTGCCCACCCACATCACACACAGGAGGTCAGCCTGGCCTTAGGATGCAGGAAAAATTGAACCTGAAGGCTAGGAAATAGGATTCCTGGGTATCAGGCTCCAGGGGACAACTCCAGGCAAGGCAGGGCAAAGGGGACTTCCTGGAGGTGCTGTAAGGCATTCTTTTTCTGTGCTATAATGGAGCACCTAAGACCAGGTAGTTTATAATATTTACACATTCACATGAAGCCCAAAAGCATGGCGTTGTACCTGCTTGAGCATCATGAGGTGAGACACAGCAAGCATGCCAGCTCTAGTCTCTGCTCATAATGCCACCAATGCCACCATGGAGGCAGCATTCTGATAACCTCCTCTAATCCTAATCACCTCCCCAAGTTTCCCTCCAAATGCAGTTAACATATGGACTTTGAAATTCACTTTGTAACACCTACAAGTTAGAGACACATTCGAGCCACAGCTGGAAGGTTGAGGAGCACCCCAGTTCTGGAGGCTCGTGAACCAGGTGATGCTCAGCAGGTGACAGCAAGGGAGGAAGGCCATGGGCCTGACCCTTAGGGGACCCAAGGCATCCAGAATTAAGATTACTGTGATTTTAGAATGAAAATGGCGATGCTGTGACAGAAGTTTCTTTCCGTAGAGCCTTTCTGGAGACCAGGGTCATGTTCTGGAAGGTTCTGATCTCAGAAAGCCTGAAGAGCTGCTTGCAGTCAGCAGCTTCCACCTACACCACTGCAAAGCCCTGATTCAGACCAAGGTGAGCAGAGTCAGAAGCCCCATCCCTCTGAGTGTTCATCAAGAGTACCCAAGGTCTGGGATGGGCATCAGGAGGCTGGGGTGGAATAACTGTTGGGTCAGAAGCTAGCAGAGGCGCCTACAGGCCCGAGGAGCAGCACTTCTCAGGCTGAGGGTCCTTCTGCAGTCAACCCAGCAATTTGTCACAGCAGACCCAGCAGGGAGAGGTGTGGACAGGAAAGGGGCCTTGTTCCTACCCCTCTCTCTTTTACCAGGGAGAGAGAACAGGCTGTCTGGGCCTGGATCTTGTGCTCCCCTTTAACCAGGCATTTCAGGACGGGCTCTTTATGTGTGCCCAGGAGACAACACTTAGGCAGTGACTGGAGTATGTGCCACAGAGATCTGCACTGTAGTGTTGGGGAGAGGTGGCAGGAGGTGGGGGGTGGAATACAGCCCTGTGGCTCTGTGGAAAGCCAAGCATCAGGGCACAGTGTGGTGCTGCCCAGCTAGGTTGCAGCCTTGGTTGATATACGGGGCAGGCAATGGGTTCTATGGCACTCGGGAAAGGGAATTATTATGAACTAACAGGGCATGATGCCAGAGGTCCCATAAGACTGTCCCTCAGCTTTTTGGAAGGACAAACTCTGAAGGAGTGCTGCAGTTCCCTTTGAGCAACAAGACATTTAGCACGTTCATCCTTCACCATAGCACTTGGGGGACGCCCAGCAGAAGCTCTGAGGTAGAAATCTGTGGAGTCCACCAGTGGATGCTGAAGTCAGGAGTCCAAGGCCTAGGTGACCACACCCAGCACAAGGGTGAGGAACACAGGCAGGAACAGACAGACCCACGCTGCTTCTGGACTGCAGGGCAGTCACAGAATTGTAAGACACTTGGTCTGGCCTTGTGGGAAGTTATGTGGCAGCGGTGCAAGGTGGAGTGGATGACTCTCGTGGCCACTGTCCTCATCCCCTCTCCACCTGGATGGTTCTCTGGTTGCACTGCACATTGAAACCAAGGAGAGAATCTGGGGTGGAGGATGGGGAGTGGGGGTTCCAGGGTGTGCTGGGAACCTACCCAGGCTTCTCTAGTATCAGCTCTAATACCCGATCACCACTTTGCTCTCAGCTCTCAGGGACGTCTGGCAGCAGACAGGGCAGCCTGATCACCTACAGCCTGTTTCTGAAGACACCACTACAAGGAAATGGGCACTACATCACCATTCCACAAAAAAAGATCTTTACTCCACGTAACCTAAAAATGGCACTCTTTAATAACAATGTTTGCTAAAAGCAGGAGTACTTTGTACCTTTATGAAATATTTTACATTCTTACTGGTTTTAGTACTAGCGTCTGAGAACTATTCTGTGGCACTGTTTCCCAGATCCTTGTTAGTTTCCCAGGACCTCTGTCAACCTACTCTATACCTCAAGCACTCAGATCTCGTGGGGTGCAGAGGGAAGGTCCTAGGGCAGAGCCAGTCTCCAGAGAGACCCCTGCCTGAATCACATGAGGATCCACGAGTTCAGGAAGCAGGAGACAGCTACTGATCACTTGCAGGAGCCCACCCTGGTCCTGGCTCCCCTAAGATGCTAATGCATATCCCTGTGCTGGATCCTGCCCTCAGCCAGCAGCCTTGAGACAAGCGTTTCTGAGTAGAAGGGTGGGTGGGAGAGCACACTGGGTGTCCCAGGACAGCTGGATGAGCATCTGCTGAGACAACTGTTTTCTTCTAGGGGCAGACACAAGCAGGCAACACTGAATTTTGTAAACTTTTATTAAAAAGAAGACTGTGTAAGACTGTGTTCTTATTGACTCCTTAGCTCTTGGAGAGGCCACTGTGGGGCTGACCTGCTCAGGAGACACTAGCTTCCCTACTGACTGAACTGACCAAGTGGTCCAGAACCAGAGAACAGTCTAGGCAGGAGTATTGGAACTGCTCCCATCAGGAGGGGAGAAGAAAGGTGCTGTTGCTATGTCTGACCCTTGTACTCAACCACCACTAGGTGATATATAGTTTGAGGATTATAACAAAAGGATAACTCATTGTTTTTATTTTACCTGGGGGGAGGAGTGTAAATGGCCAGTAGGTATATGAAGAACATGCGTGCCAACACTGACCATAGAGAAGTGCAGTCAAGCGCAGTGAGGCACCACCACACTGCTAGGATGAAGATGAGCTGGCAAGGACATAGAGATGTAAATGAGAACAACTATTATGGGAAACAGTACAAAGATTCTCTCCCAAAACTAAAACACCTGCCATGTGAGCCAGCAACGCCACTGCTTGGGGTTATACCCAAAGGAAGGACTGTCTGTGGAAAAGCTGTTCGTATCATGTTCACTGCAGCGGGTTCACAATGTCCAAGGTGGCGCCATCTGGGTTGTCCTGACCCAGGATGAGTGGATAAAGGAAGAATACTGTCTGTCCAGGAAAAGATGGAACCCTGATACCACAGCAACAGGGATGAGCCTGGAGGACATTATGTTGAGTGGAATAAGCCAGGTGCAGACAAGCAGATGACTCTTTCAGCGGAGTCTTAAAATGTGAAATTCCTAGAGTCTGAGTGGCAGTTAGCAGGGCCTGATGGAGATGGTGTCAGCCAAGGGTAGCCTTAGGTCAAGACCCCTAAAGTGTAAACTGGCAACATTTAACCATGAGTCACAAAGCTGGGAATGGTAGTGTATGCCTTTATCCCAACACTGGAAGGCGGAGAGGTGGATCTGAGTTTGAAACTAGTCTGGTCTACAGAGTGAGTTTCAGGACAGTCAGGGCTATGCAAAGAAGACTTATCTTGGGGGAAATGAATTATATTCTCAGAAATCACTGAATAGACTTAGTATTCTCATTACTCAAATGTAGCCTTCGGTCACAGCTCCATTTAGCCATCCTAGACATCTGAAAACATCATATATGGCTAACTGCAATTCTGTCAACTAAAGCAGAAATGGACAAACAAGGCAGCGCTCCTACACGTGCTCTGAAATACACTCTGCTCTTGGGCTCCCAGCAGCTGCATGCAAGGTGAAGCCATCAGGAGCCTCTCAGAACACATGAATGCTGAGAGCCAGGGGTCCAGCCGCCTGGGACAGCCAAGCCTGAGCTGAGTGCAGCACCTGAACAGCTCAGGAGAACAAGTCCTCAGCAAGCTCCTTGCCCTTCCCCACCCTCCAGGACACTTATTTCCACCCCCTTCCTCACGAGGAACTGGGCTGTGAGACACAGGCCCAGGCTCTGGCCAAACTGAAGGTAAGGGGCTTAGGTTTGAGGCTTACTTGCCTGATGGCTTTGCTTTGGGTGGTGGGACCCTGGCAAAGCCTGAGCCTCCTGGGGGCTGGCTTCAGCTGAGCAGTGGCAGAGGCCCCACTTGGTTTGTGTCCTGCACTTTGCTAGTGAGGTCAGCAGTGAGGCAACATACATGGAGCACGTAGGAAGGCAGTGTCTCAGGCAAATGTTCTCAATCTTTAGCTCACCTCACCACAGGTGCATAGACGCCTCCTTCACAAACTTCTGACCTCTAAAGCAACACAGTGACATTAATCGTCTAGAGGGATGCAGGTGGGAACTGAAGGACAGAGGATGCGGCTCATATATTTGGGATTTACACGGTCATTTCATCCCTTCTCGCTCTGAACCCTTGTTTCCAAATCTCCTTACCTCCATGTCTTTTTTTGTGTGTGTTTGACTTAATTAAGCGCACAGCTGTGAGAAGGTTTATTTTTTGGAAAATGGGGACCACCGTATCAAGAAAATGACACTCCCTCCCCCGACCTTTAACTGAATAGATCCTCAGAGAGGGATAGGGCCTCATGGGCCCCACCCTATGCCTGACGGAATGTTGTTGGGTCCTATCTTGTACATATTTGAGATACTTCACAAATAAGGATGAGGGACATGTAGTCCTAAGCATGAAACACTTGGGACAGCTCTGACTCAAGTGCCTTCTGTCCACTCTCTGCACAGAAAGCAGCTATGGGCGAAGGCTGCGAGGAGCACCTATATTCTTGGCCTGCCATTTGGTAAATGGTTACTCCAGGGGCATAATGACCAGTGATCCGCACCACAGGCCTGGCCTGATACTACCTACATGGCAATCCTCAAGTACTGAGATTTTATCGCTGCATCCCTAGTTACATATTTATAAACACATGGAAAATGTGCTTCCTAGCAGTCATCAAATTCATATCTAATCTGAAAATGTCACAGGTGCATGATCAAACCCAAAAGAACCTACGAAATTCCAGCAACTCCATCCAGGCAGAAAGAGAAGGCAGCAGGGTGAAGAGCCTTGGTCAGGCTGGTCACTCAGTCTCAGGGCTCCCAGCAGCTCTCTAAAGACGAGCATCAGGGCTGACACACACTTCAGTTTCCAAAGATCTTTTCTCTTCTCTTTTTTTGGTTTTTCAAGACATGGTTTTTTTGTAGTTTTGAAGCCTGTCCTGGAACTTGCACTGTAGACCAGTGAATTCAGAGATCTGCAGTCTCTGCCTTGCGAGTGCAGGGATTAAAGGCGTGGGCTACCTCCGCCCAGCCAAAGATCTAGCTTTTTAAGGCTGTGAAGTAGACACTGTAACTACTAGGAGCAACAGAAATCTTTAAACAGCAATTCCTGTTTTAGGGACTGACAGGGCACCTCAGCTGTCTGTGGACCTGCGTTCCATCCCTGGGCCCACAGGGAAAGCTGATTCTGAGAAAGTTGTCTTCTGACCTCCACATGGGCACTGTGATATAAATAAAATGTAAAAGAGAAATCCTGCCTTAGCACACCCTTTAAACTAGCTTTTATAAGGAGACACATGTAAGATCACTGTCACAGACTGGGGCTCAGCTGTTCCTACAGATTACCTACAGCCCTTAGGCCCAGGGAAGGTAGCAGGAGCTGAAAGGTAAGGGAGAGTTTTCCCTTGGTTAAGAAAACAAACTTATTGCCTATTTAGCACAAAAAGAAGTTATTTGCCTATTATAGAAAGCATATAAAATGCTGAGACCACTGAAAGCAAACTCAGTTGAAGGATTAGGATAGAAAAAATTTCATAACACATTCCATTTGCTGGATATTTTTAATAAAGTTAGGTTTACATTGATGATATTAAAGAATAGTCATACAAACACGGGAAAAAAAATAAAACCTCTTAGGCTCAGGTGGGGAAGACCAGAAAAGCACATAAAAGACAGAAAAAACATGCATGGAGGAAGAGTCTGACATGTGATCAGGTAGTAGAACCTTGAGATCCAAGCAGACAGCTTAGGGGCCACCCCAGGATTAAGGGGCCCTAAAATTAGATGGAGTCAGATTGTTTTGAACCTTAAAATGTTTGAGCACCATTTTAAAAGCAAGCAAGCATGCATGGGTGTTCCCTAACTGAGGACATGGGTGAGGACACACCCTTCCCAAGCACACGCATGCCTGGTACCCAGCAGCCTCCATGTACACACTTGACATGGAACATGAGGTGTGAGGAGGTCATGCCCTCTGTCACACATTAGTGCCTGGAAGCCAGGCAGTAATGGCCAAGGACAAGACCTACATAAGGCACTGCCTGAGACAGAACTGACATGTAATTTCTAGACATCTTATCTTAGCCTTCAGTGGCATTTACATATAAATAGGCATAAATAAAAGCACCCTGCCGTTGACAGGAAGACACCACCTGCAGAGTAGACCCAGTGAGGCAGCAGTGGAGCTGTGCATGGTTCTCATTTCAGACACTCTGCTAGAATGCAGACCATGATTGGGCCTCTCATGTAAACACCTGGCCGGCTACATTTACACTGTTGCCTTGGGAGTGTAGAGACTCTTTACCAAAAAATATTTTCTATTTAAACCTTAAAAATGACACACACCAATTGTAATTATTTAGGTTATGTTTCTAATGTAGCAGCAGAGGATGTTTGTAGAAAAAATATACTTTTAAGAAAATAGCTGAAAAAAATCTAAAGTATAAAAAGTTTAAAAAATATATCTTAAGACAAAATACTGCCCAAAACATATAAAACTTAAATTTTAGAAAGTTTGTCTACCTAATTTAAAACACATTAGACACAACTGTGGCACACCATCCTCCACAGTGATCCCAGGGCCCAAAAGTCTTCAAAGAGCTCAGTTCCTGGCAATGGCTTGCTCTGTCTTCAGGGTTGCATGCAGCCTCGCAGAGAAAATCTGTCCCAGGGTATTTTCATAGTCAGAAAGGCAGGGCCCCCTTTGGGACAAGTGCTTGTCTGTCTCTGGATCACAGCACAGAAGAGCTCCATGGGGTATGTGGCCTTGTCCTTGGCCCACCAGGGGCCTTCTCTCAGGTCTCCACCAGAATCTCTACTACATGGTCCAGCTCAGCCAGATCTGACTTGCAAGTGGAGCTGGGAGGTGGGGGAGCTGCAGCAAAGCTCTCAAGGCCATTGCAGAGACTGGGTTTGGTCCCACTCATCATTCCTGTTAGCACCGTGTCTAGGTCATAGTAGGAGCTGTCCACGTCTGAGAAGAGTTCCTCCACTGAGCTGGGGCTTTTGTTCTCCAGGGTCTCAAATATCTGGTCCAGTGACTTCTGAAAGCTTCCCCGGTTTTCTTGTGGGTTGTCCATCTCCCAGAGGCTGCTCTGAGGGTTTCTCTGTCCCTGTGCTGAGCTGACTATGGGAAGCTCAGAAGCTGAGCTTTGCAGGGGATCATCTTCCAGTTCAGGAGTGGGGTGCTCCCCGTCAGTTCCCCTGGCTGTACGACACAGGATCTCTGTGGAGACCAGGCGGTCAATTGGTGCCCGTTGTTCGACATTCTGGGGTGCCATCCCATGCCACACACCATC